GAGTGAAACAAGGTAAATATTTGAGGATAGTTTGACAACTAGGCTTAGTTCAAATGTTTTAATTAATCCTCTAATGTGTATTTTGATGAAGAATATCATGAAGTGACGGACAAGCTGGAGACAACAAAGTTATATCATGAAATGGTTTGAATCCATGACATTTATCCACTAACTTTTTCAGAATAAACTAACGAGATCATTATCAGTCTCCATTCCCTAATGTTTATCTTCAAAAATAATTTTGTGCCACACATTACCATCTAGTTTGATAATGATAATAATGAATTGCCTTATTCAATCCTGTAAATTTGGTTAAAGCAAAGCAGTTGCACAAGTGTACAATACTGTTAGAATTTATAGTTTATATCGCACATACTGTTATGACTTTATGTCCGGCTTCTTATCATGTGATTTATACACCAATCAAAATAGGACTTATGCAATCTTAGAACTGTGCCAAACCAATGACGTTCGACCGGTATGGGCAGCCCAGCGTCCTTATTGTTCCTATGTCCGCCTAGCCCGTCCACTTGAGTCCAGAACACCAATACCAGCTTCCATTATGCGAATCGAATCATTTATTTCAGATATACTGGGTTTATATATTAACCAAACAGACCGAAACGCACCATAAAATAGGAAATAACATTTGTACACAATAAAGCCAATACGTGACTGTGAACGTGGGAGGCAGTAGTCAGTAAATTGAACATAGGTTAAGAACCGTAAATCGTAAAATAATAAATTAAGGGTCAAAATAAAGCTTAAAACAAGGCAAATATAGATATACATAATCTAGTCACTGAATATTTATACCATGAGAATATACAAATAATAATAGTCCATTAATAAGTCTCAGAAGTTACTCGTAATGTAATCTTCATTAGGAGATAACACACACAATAAAAGAAATGAATGAAAACATTGTTCGATAATGATCAGTTGACATCAAGTTCCAATTCTTAATTCGTCCATTTACTTCCCCCATCTAGAACGTGATCACTTTCCATTTTACCAGAAATCAGATAAGGAGCAGATTATTTACATAAATATCTAATTCTAGATTTGTAACAATGAATTACAGATAGAATGTTGGGAATGATTCATGAATGTATAAAGTCAGCTATTTGGTCATAACTAAGAATGTGACATAAATTAGCTTACACAAGATTCTTCTCATAACATAAATAATTATGGGTTCGAGTTCCACGTGTGGGATCTTGGATGCATTAAATTGAACAGAACAAGAGCAAACAACCGAGCAGAATAACATGAATTCACTATATTTTGTTCGCTTCTCATCCGTTGCTTACGATCTGTAATATTTAAAATCAAGTTTATGGGAATGTTTACAAACGTGTAACAGTAAAAATGGATATGTCTCACTATAGTGGAGTAGTGAAGACATATAATGAGTTTTGTAAATAAATATAAAATGTGAGAGAAGATTCTAGACCATTAGACAGTAACAAATGACTCACTGACTATATAATGAAGTAGTTAGACGTAAATTAATAAAAATTAAGTTAAATATTAACACCATTGGATGCCGGCTCAAGGGTCTAGAGGTTAAGCTCTCGTACGCGAGGCCGAAGGTCCTGAATTCGAATCCCGTGAGTGGGGTCGTGTGTGTGCGCTACTGACGAGTCCCATGCTAGGATAAAGCTGCAGTTCGGTGCTTCCGGGTTTTCCATGGTGGTCTAAATCTGATTGACCCATGAACTGAATTATTAAATTAAGAATAAGATGAGTTGGGATTAGTTAATTTTAAAAAAACAGATAATAAGGTTATAACATCGAAACAAGGGATGCAATTAAAACAGGAGAGAAAGAGAGAAGAAAATTCCAAAAATTTTATCATAAACTGACGATAAAACCACTATGATAAGGATAGATTTACAACTGTGTTCACTTGGATATATAAGTCCGACTTTAGGTGATTAATGGTTATGACTCTTTCCAATTTGCTGACAGTCTCAACCATATAAACAGTATTAATAAGTTAGAAAGAACCTTGAAACTTGAAAGAGAAACGAAGTTGAAGGAAAGTTTGATGAAATAGTGTATTATGCAAGGTACGATACTTTTATTGTATGTAATGATCCACAACAAACAAAACACCTAAACTTTCTCAACAATTCTCATAAAAATATTCAATTTACCATGGAACAAGAAATGGATGATAAGTTCCACATTGTGTTCTTGACTCAAATGAGCAGGGTTAGGCAGGAAGAACCAATAAAGACTTAAAGTTGACTCTAGTCAGCTCGTATTGTTTTACACGTCATTGGTTTGGCACAGTGCTAAGGTCGTGTTAATCGGCGTTCTGATTGACGATCTTGCCACTTGATAATTAACAGAGCATAAGAACATAACATAATGTATCTACATATTCTGGAAACGAACTACAATTATAGTTCAATAAGTGATTGCCAGTGTTCAGTAAATTTCAAGGTATCATCACAAACTACTAGATAATCAAACCGGAATTCCCCATATAAATCATTTACTTGACAATAACGGTTTTATCAGAAGGGCTTTGTGGAGATTTTAGAAATTTCACAGATTGAAATCATGAGTCAGTTGAAGCTAGACCATCATGGAGAACCTGGAAGCACTGGACGGCCGTTTCGTCCTAGTATGGGACTCCTCAGCAGTGCGCACCCACGACCCCGCACCCCGCGGGACTCGAACACAGGACCTACTGGTCTCGCGCGCGAGCATTTAACCACTAGACCATCTCCACAAAGCCCTTTTGATAATAATCATCTGCTCACTAGTGACTGACTTCAAGAGATACTCCTGGAGTTCTAGTGGGAAGCCGTTACCAGTGGAGTTCAACCAGGTCTGTTGTGAGATATCAACTCACTGAAGACAATGGTATAAGGTGGCGCAACTTCGTGGATCGGTTGAAGTTAGACATTAACACCCTCGTATGTCAGCTCGGTGGTCTAATGGTCAAGTGCTCGCGCGTGAAACCAATAGGTCCTGGGTTCGAGTCCCGCGGGGTGCGGGGTCGTGGGTGCACACTGCTGAGGAGTCCCATACTAGGAAGAAGCGGCCGTCCAGTGCTCCCAGGTTCTCGATAATGGTGTAGCTTCAACTGACTCGTGGTTTCACTCTGTGAAATGACGGCTTTATCGTGCCTCAAATTTATGCCAAGTTAACAAATTATAGTGACAACATTGTACAACTGTTTTCTTCATGTAATTAATTGAGTTTCAATTCAATGGTCTGATTGATAAATGCTTATTCAGACACTGAAAGATTCTGAATTATGTCCCTCAATTCATTCAAGTGTGTACACTCCTAAAGAGTACATCGTAAACTGTGAAAAAAGGAACACACCATACTAATGATGTCTTGTAAGATCAAAGCTGTTATTAATAAGCGATGTATAAAAAACATGAATACATTAAGAATGCAGTACAACTAGAACTTTAGTGAACAAGAACACCAGTGGGGACAATCGAATGTATTTGAGCACAAAATTACAGTACATCTCACTAAAATCTGAGAACCATATAGTAAATCATTAATTTGCAAAATATCAATCCATCATCTCAAACTTGACTGTCCCTGTTGCAAACACCAAACCATTGTCTCAGATTTTATTGTTCATGCGTTTTCACATTAATTGCGTTCCGTTCCCGTTCTTTCCTCATCGACCTTCTACTGAAATACATTCTCTGACTGACCACCGTTATATACTACTTGTGTGGATATAAGTAACCCACACCGCATAACCTCATATGCATTGTAAAGTGATAAATATAACCAATGAAAAGTATATTAAACAATTCGATAACTAAAGTAAAACATTTCCCATATAACATTTTGTGTAAAGCATTAAATGATCGTCACTTTCGATGTTTAGCATATTGAAGAGACCAAGTTGCTTTATGGAAAAGAATCGAATTTATTGAAGTATTAACAGCATAAGTGATCTGTTCAACTGTATAATATTCAGATATCTAATATCATTACATTTTAACCGACATTTTCATCCTCTTACCATAAACATTAACTTAACAGAGATACATCAGAAATCATACTGTATAATCACGATCTTTTAGCAATATATACCATCCTCTCAGATGTTACCTGTTAATCAACTAAAGATGTAATTTCATAGTAGACAATGTTCATAAATGATCAGAAGTTAAAATAACACCAACTTACAAAATAATAAAATGACCACTATTTTGGGTGGAGTTTTGTTTTCTTAACTAGATTTTAGTTTATGCAGATGATGTTGTTCAGAAAAATAATGAAAGCTCCATGATTGAACCATCCAGTTCAAAGAATAAAACTCTACCTAAGCTAAAAATCTTACTCATCATCTGAAAATCATATAACTACTATTTATAATTTATAGATCATTATAACTAAAATGAGTGGAATGTAGTTGTTCAGTTAACCATAAGCATTGAATACTCTCAGTTCCATTTCATATATACGTCTTTTGAGTTAACTATTTTGGACTTCTACTATTGATTTACAAAATAATTTTCCCCAGTTTTTCTTTAGCTTTCATTATTTCACTTGCTAATGTCAGTTAGTAACTAAAAATAGCCTTCAAATTCATTTATTTTTCCAGAATCAGTTACATAAATATTATTTTCAATCAATTTCTTATTATCATTATACGGTTGAGGAGATTATTAAGTTTTTGATTGAGATCATGAACCGATTGATGTTAAACCACTACTGAAAACTTGGAAGCACTGGACGGCCGTTTCATCCTATTATGAGACTACTCAACAGTTTGCATCCACGATCTCGCTAGCGAGACAAAACGGCTGTCATGTACTTTCAGATCTTCAATGATCTTCATGATCTCAATCAATTTCTTATTGGTTGTATCTTAAACGATTAAATTATAATTAGTTGATTGGTAAATTTAAAAATAATCAACCTATATATAAAGAGAAAAAATGAAAAACTTTTTATCCATTGCAGTTACATTACTACTTATATAAGTAGATTTATTCAATATTATGAATTATATACAAATTACGATAATTATTATTTTGCTTTATTACTTAAAACATCAACATTTATTAGTGAATATACATGGTAGTGTTATATATAATACATCATGTATTCAATACAACAATAGTAAAACATCTAATGAATGTAATTATACACAATGGATATTTTTAACAGGAGCCCCTCTTCTCAATTTTGTTTCTTTATATACTTTAAAAATATTGAATACAAATTATTGTTTCATTGAATGTCAAAATAATTTGAAATGCTATTCATTTACAACAATGCCCGTAAGTCGCAGAAGGTTGAGGAAGTTGTATATTGCTATTATTGTCATTATTATTATTATTATTATTATGACTGGTAGTCGTAGTAGTAGTAGTAGTAGTAGTAGTAGTGTTGGTAGCAGTAGTGTTGGTAGTAGTAGTGTTGGTAGTAGTCGTAGTCGTAGTAGTAGTAGTGGTGGTAGTAGTAGTAGTAGTAGTAGTAGTAGTAGTAGTAGTAGTAGTAGTAGTAGTAGTAGTAGTAGTAGTAGTAGTAGTAGTAGTAGTAGTAGTAGTAGTAGTAGTAGTAGTAGTAGTAGTAGTAGTAGTAGTAGTAGTAGTAGTAGTAGTAGTAGTAGTAGTAGTAGTAGTAGTAGTAGTAGTAGTAGTAGTAGTAGTAGTAGTAGTAGTAGTAGTAGTAGTAGTAGTAGTAGTAGTAGTAGTAGTAGTAGTAGTAGTAGTAGTAGTAGTAGTAGTAGTAGTAGTAGTAGTAGTAGTAGTAGTATTTCATAGAATTATTGGGACTAAATGTAGAATAATTAAATTAAAAACAGTTTCCTTATGAGTAAATGATGAATATTCACTTCTGTCGTTATGTATTTTAATAACCAGTGACGTTTTTCCTCATCAGCTTACAGCAATGTTCACTTTTGTGTTCATTATTGTTAAGTGATATTGTTTAATGGTGGTATCTCAAGTTAACAGACTAGTCATATCTTAAATAGCTCAGTAATAATTGAAGTGTCACAACACTAACTAGGATAGAATGTAAATCAGTAGCATCTTGGCAAGTGACTTCAATCTTTTAGTATAAACCAATATATTAATAGAAAAGATCGTGAACGATTAGTCACGTATACATTAAAGGATTCATTTGGATTGGCTGACAGCACGAACCACATAAATATTGTTGGTAAGTTCATGGTTTCCTTTGATGTGACATCGATGTTTACAAAAATACCACTTCTTGAAATCACAGACATAATTTGTCAGCATTCTGACATCCTACCTCTACCAGTATCAGAATTCAAACGACTGTTAATCATATGTACAAAAGATGTTCCAGTTCAAAAATATCATGTACCGACAATTCGATGGTGTAGCAATTAGAAGTTCTTTAGGTCCTGTCCTAGTAGATATTTTCATGGCTAACCTCGAAAGAACCAAGCTCAAAGGAGCGATTGACGAAATGATGTATTATTCGAGGTATGTTGATGATATCTTCATTGTGTGTAATAATCAACAACATGCAACAAATCTGCTAAAATTTTTCAACGAAGCCCATCCAAATATTCGTTTAACTATGGAACAGGAAAATGAAAACAAGTTTCATTTCCTTGATATCGCAATAAAATGAAGGAAGGATGACATAGTTCAACGCTCAGTTTATAAGAAAGACACGTGGAATGGGATTTATCTCAGTCTCAATAGCTTTTGTCCAATCAGTTACAAGAAGGCACTTGTTAAAACACTATTTCACAGAACAAAAAGTATATGTTCTGCCGATACACTAGAAGAGGAACGGATGAATGTTAAGAAATGTTGAAAGAACAACGGATACCCCTGGGATTCCTTGAGAAATATACAAAAATTGAAGACAAAAAAACACCCAAAGAAACTACAGTAAAAAAACCTATTTTTACTCAACTTTAATTCAAAGGTGATGATATGCCAGGATCAATCATTGTGAGACTAAAAACTGCATCGACAAGAACTTATCCGGCAGCTAAACTGATTGTCCTATCCAAAACAACATGTTCTTTAACATAATCAGAGGTCGATAGGTATCCCTTTCATATTACCACCAACTATGTATATAAAATCACATGCATCTGCCAAAGCAATTACATCATTAGGACAGAAAGGAGGGTCTACGTCCGATTCAAAAAACATTAAATCCATGTAACAGAAGAATAAAAGATAATTTTAAAACTCAAGATCTAAGAGAAGACAAAGATTGAACGCCTATTCATCACTGTGACTAATTCTACAGCATGACACTTAATGTCTCTAACCATTAGTTTACATTCTGACGAGATAGTCTACAACTACTAATAATTTTAGTCCGACCGTCTATGACTTCGTGGACTAATGCCATGTCTCGGTTTGAACTGCCTTGAAATTTTCTTGTACTTATTGTTACATCAGTTATCGTTGTACGTTGAGATAGATGTTGGTCTTGTATAGGTAGCACATGTATTAGTCTTCTCAAAAGATGAAAATTTACTGACTCATCAACCGACTCACCACTGGTTATCTGTGCGTGGTGCAATAATACACTTAATCAACGCTTCGTATTCAACTTCTGATTAATACACCTTTGGGGCGTTATCAAGTGACGGTTATCAGGACGAACTGCATACGAAGTTTAAGGATTATATTGAATACCCACCACCACAATGTCTTCTTGCGTACGATCATCAAACACTGATGAATACTGTACAAGAAAAAAGTGATTATTCTTAAAGCCTTCGAATTAACTCATTTGCTTGCAGATGTCTTTACTAACAAAATTTCCAACTGATCTATGTATCATAAAGATCTGCCAAACTTTTTTTCTCACATTTCATTGTAACTGTCACGACACAAATTCACGCAAACACGTACCTTCCAACTTCTAATCAGTATATTAATTCTATCTTATTTATGTCGTTTAATTACAAATAAAACTTCCTGCTCAGAGACTCCAGAGCACTGAGAATTCTATGGTTACTTATTCTTTTTATTATGATTCCTATTAATGTGTGACTCTGAAGATACCACAGGTATTTATAGTTTGACAACACTTCAACCAGTAACACCTTCTATGAATGAATCGTGCCAACCCAGTGAAATCAAAAGTCAGAAGCGAGGAGGTTTGAAGATGTATTTGATAGGCTCTCAATATATCAAGAAACCACTGATGTAAACTTGCTAGCGGTTGCAGGAGAATTTGAACAAGGCGTTCCCACTCGTGATCTGGTGAGGAAGCATGACCGAGCGCCTTCAGCTAGGTGAGCCTATTAAAACTAATGTGATCAGCATCCAATATCGAAGACTTACAGAGTTAGTGATTTTCACTATCAAAAGTGTTTGTGAACCGATTTTCTTGCAAAAAAGCATGAACAGGCTGATGTTATCGTTCAATGGTGTTTGATTCGATACTGTTCGATCAACAGATTACTAATATATTTTAAGTGACTATTTTCGGATAACGATGCAAAGTTTTTTTAGTGACTGCCATGTCAACCTAATGGTACCTAATTTCAAAAATATATTCACAGTATTTGTAAATAAGATATACAACAGTCAGTGTTATGGATGAAAATTCAAACCGAAAGACCACCGTGAGAACCATTAAGAAATGAAATTATTTAATTCTCCACACGGTGTAAAAAGATGACTACAATAAACATAATATAAGACGATTTGTGAATAAAACTAGATAAAGTTCATGATTTATGATATTTGATTGAAGCTATGGACCGATCAATGTTAGAAATCGATTGAAAACCCGGAATCACTGAACAGTCTGTACATCGTAGTATGAGACTCTATATATATGCACTGGTATGTGAAGCTTTTGAAGAAATTTAATTGATCACACAGAATCTATTCCCTTTATTCTTTCTTCTAATATTTATAGAGTACGGCATCATGTAAACTGTACAATGCAAAACTTCCAATTGATCCCTTATCGTTTGATGGAAGCTCATATATTTCTGCAACGAAGGCTTGTTGTGGTAGGTAGTATATCAATTCCTATAATACTTGTACACTGATTCAAAAATTTTCTGGCAGTGTTTTTTAACTTAAATTTAGCATTCATTTCATCTCGGTCGTATTGAAAAGAACTGCGTCAACACTTGGACTAAGAATAGAGAGTGAAGTAGTCGAACGCGTTGACAACTTCAATTATCTTACAAGTCTGATCAGCCTTAATGGGTTTGTGTCTGAAGAAATCTCAGCGCAGATTCGAAAAGCTTGATTGGCTTTTGCCAAGTTACGTCACCTATGGCGAAGGCGAGATATCCGTGTATGAATAAAAGGATGAGTATACTGCGCAGCAGTTCGGTCTGTTCTGATTTACGGCTGCGAAACGTGGACATTAGGAGTTGAAGATTCTCGTAAGCTACTAGTATTTGACCACAGATGCCTCAAAAATATTGCTGGCGTCTGCCGGGATCACCAGATAAGTAATAGTGAGGTTAGATGCAGGGTATCAGGAAATGATGATAAATCAGTTGATGAGGTTGTGAATCTTCATCGACTGAGATGGTTGGGCCACGTGTTACGTATGCTTGAAAACCGATTACCACGACGCGCAATGCTGACTGGTGTTAGGGATGGTTGGAAGAAAGTTAGGGGCGGCCAAACCAAAACGTGGCATCAGTGCTTGAAGTCACTAACTTCTGATGTGAGCCATGGTGGTAGATACAGACTACTTGGTTGGGTTCTGTGTGACTATCGTAACCAATGGTTGGAGACTTGGTGAAATGGCTCAGAATTAATCACAATGGCGTAGGTGTATACACTCTTTTTCTTCCTTCAAACTATGAAATTAAAATCACTTCATATCCGGTGTTCATCTTGCAGTGCTAATGCGGTATGGCAACTTGGACCGATGCATATATGTGCCTGGTCCTATGTTGTAGCTGACTGATTGTGGATTATAATCGGAATAACAAATTCCTAAGTTACAATTATTTGATTGTTAACCTAATGATAAAAGTCAATAATAAAACATATTTCGTCACGTTTAATTAGTAGGCAATCTACTCTTTATGATTGTTAAACACTTTGACCATCATGAGATTCTATTGTCACTTGACTAGATTTTGAAAGACTTATGGAATATACTGTACTCATACATTAGTAACTATGTTATTATATTCATCCGCGAAAGTATTACTATTTCCAAGAAAGTGTTATCTTACTTTTCATCGCAACTCAATATATGGTCTGTAATAAGAATTAAACAAACATGATATTGGTAACTATTTAGTCAGCAGTCAGTGTTAAAGTCTCATTCTTACAAGATTTGTTGCAACACGATCATCTTGGTGACGTGTCTCTGAAATGAATTGTAAAGGTTACTTCCAGATCATAAAGTCTACATCAAACAGTAACCATATTCGAAAAACCATTGAGAATTGGAAAGTATTAAGGAGCTGTTTCATCCTACTATAAAGTCTTTGAGTAGTGCTTCTCCATAACCCTATTGGCGATTGAATACAAGAACTAGATAACACTTACTGGTGAGTGTTAATTAATGTCATCATAATAAAAGTTACATCATTATTTATGCCATGTCTAGATGAAAAATAAAAAAATACTGTTTCTTACTAAATGATCTCAGGTATTCATTTTTAATTTAGGCCTATTATATTGAATCTATGAATTAATTTACAATAATAAAAGGTTGATCAACAACCATCGATCATTTAAAAATTCATGTGCTCCATATTCAGCTATTGTAAGTCCTAAAATGACGAAAATCTCATTTTCAGACGACTGGCCTTGTGCCCTATTAGGGATACAGGCAGTTAGAGAACAGTGGCTTATCGATCAGACCAATGATCTAAAAAACGTGTACAATCAGTCTACAGTCCTTATCGGTCCATCTTCCTGCCTAGCCCTGCCTGTTAAGTCAGTAACACCAATTCCAGCCTCTGCGATATGAATCATGTCTTTCAAATATACTGGGTTTATATATAAACCAAACAGACCACATCGTACTATAAAATGGAAAATAACATCTGTACAAGATGTAGTCAAAAGTGGCTGTGAATGTGGGAGACTGCAATTAATAGACAGGGTATAATTCAAGAATAGTAAGTCGTATATGTATCGTATTAGTCCATAGATAGTTCTCAAGAGTTACCATCCATAATTCTCGTCGGGATAATAACATATATACTGTGAGATCTTTCAGTATAAACTAAATTTTGTTTAGCTGGGTTTTTTTTATGGAAATTTCAGTTTAGTTAATTAATAGATTGAATCATGATCGTATAACTACTTTAATAATTTTTCAGTAGTAAAACTATTTCAAATAAAATTATGGCTCTTACACATTATTTTTGAAAACAATAGAATTTTAAAATGTACACAATTATTCAACTGAATTATCTGCTTCTTTCAATTTATTACCATCAAATCATTTTCCGTCATAATTTGTACATCCATTTCCCTTTTTAAAGTAAAACTAATCTCTGTATTATTTGTACAAATAAATCATTTCCATACTATATGTCTTACTATGATATTAAGTTACAATGAGAAACATTAAACGATAACCAAAATATAAAGAAATTGTCTTTTTAATTCTCAACTGTCTAGATTTGAAGGATATATTTTGATCAATTGTTTAAAGATCATAAATTGATGTTAACGGTGGAACCTTCGTTCGATAGACTGCTAACAGTTGAAAAACGGAAAGTACTGAGAAGCTGTTTTGTTATAGTATAGTGTATTACCAAGCCTACTGGGAATCGAACTCAGTATGACAAGTACATATTAATTTGCAGGTACAAAGCAAACTTGATATTATTAGTGGTTATAGATTATCAGTTAGTTGATTTGTCGGTGTATATTGTAGTGCGTGCTACTTATATCGACATGAGTAGTATGTAACAATAGTCAGGATTAGAATGTCTGGCAACACAAGGTCGAGAAGGATAGAACGGGAACAGAAAGCAACGAACAGTCAAGTTTGAGATAATTGATTGATATTTTGCAAATGAAGTATTTACTGTATGGTTCTCAAATTTTACAAAGATGTGCAGTAATCTTATGTTCAAATATATTCGATCGTCTCCAATTTTGTTCTTGTTCACTGCATATATGTCAATAAATCGTATCTGCAATACTGAAGACATTGATGCCAATCTTCTGAAATTATTCAGGATTGACGAGTTGATAATTTAGCACTCAACACTAGTGTTAGATTAATGTGAGAATTTTAACTGATCAGTATTCACTCGGTATTGTTCTTCTTTGGAAATTGTATCTGTTGAACAGTCCAATGATCATAGGTCGCAGTTTAAATATGAATCTTATTCTTGTTAACGGCTAGTACATTTTAAATAACTCTAAAATTTTAAGAAATTATTGAAGTGGAAGAACTGCATATATATAATTCTATGAGCTATCAGTTAGTACGTCGAATATAGTTCCCACCTTAAACTTTAGTCGACGGTTAAGTGATAGTCAAGTTATTATAATGATGATCTATAGATCTACAGAATTTGAAAGTTTTCATACGAAAATCTCGGTTTGCTATAAATCAACTGGAATTGAATTTAACACGTCACTGAGATCCCATCATGTGTTTTAAACCATCATTCCCTGTGCTATGATAAAAGTTCTTAGTGTGCGCTACTAAAAAATTTCAAACTGAAACGAAACACTACCCTTCTTATGAAATAACACTTTGATTAAACGTATAAACCAACATTAAAATTTAATAGTCGAATTCATGAGTCGATTGAAGCTATGCCACCTTGGTAAACCTGGAAGCACTGGACGGCCGTTTTGTCCTAGTATGGGACTCCTCGGTTATGCGCATCCAAAACGTTTAAGTTTAAAGTTGATTTTTACAAAGAACTTTGATCAACTGTAAAGCTACTGAAAACCGTGAAATACCAGACAACTATTTCATCTTAGCATATAAAATACCTATCTAACCCTCCTTAGTTTTCAATAGGTTAATCATTCAATCTCAATATGTGTAATCAGAGTTAACTTCTAGTAAATGAATTGTTAATACACTCAAGTGTTATTATATTCAATGTTTAGAAAGGTTCAACAACACAATAAATTTTCACTTTTATCCAAATATCTGAAACTATAACAACAATGAATAATGAAAGGAAAAAAGTGAACAGATTAGTAGGACAATTACCATAGTAACACTAGAAACTAAACAATAGAATATTACTTAAACAAAGTCACTATTGAAAAACATAAAATAAGTAACAATCTAATATTTGAATGAATAAAGACTTTCGAATAAAATAGAGATTGTTTTAAACACGCATGAAATGGTAATGCGGTTTCTTTAAACAAAACGATGCATATGAATATATCTAAAGGGTTGATGGTATTGTCTTGAAACAATGTAATTTGTGAATATTGAAGTATACAATCGTAAAACAATCTAGAAATAAAATGCTAATTTTCATGTGATAAGCCAAACAATTAGGGATACACACAGAATATACGATCTAGATAATTACATTGAAACAAATATGATTTTATAGCAGTATAGTTATTACTGGGACATAGATTGGATTGAAGTATGCTCAATGCACGATTGCGTTGGCGCACGCCGATTGTCTAATTCTTATGAGTTTTAAACCTGAACTAAATATTAATTAATGTAGAACCATTCTTGATTCAGAGAAATTCATATACGAATATTTCAATGATCTTTGGCTTTAATCAAATTGAGTTAAGTTGTTCTGGTAAATCTAACAACGCATATACTAACTTAGATGACATCCTAACTACTATATGATAATTTTGACATTCTTAGAGAAAATCGATAAACGAGGAATGAAACCATATCATTGCATTAAACGGTATCAAAAGACATTGTATGTTATGTTTGATATTTCGAGGGAAATGATTAGAAAACTAAGCAAGCACTTTTAAATAGTTTACCCATAATAACTACATTACGATACTAGAAGTGGTTGGCCCAACGAGTGAAGTAGCGATGTTTGACTCTAAACCAGTGTAAATTACAGGTTAAGGTTATGCTTCAATAATCTCAATTTACATGGTCGTTTACCATAATTAACCCTCGAACAGTATGACAAAAGTGTGCGAATTATAATTCATAGAATCATTTAGAGAAATCCATAAAAGCCATCACATGTGAAATAATTTTAAATATTCTAGGAAAGCCTTATACTGTAAACTAAAATCCCGAAGAAAATCTAAGTGGTTCAACTTCACACTTAATTGGCTGTACTGTTCTGTTTAGCCGAACAAACGTGTTTATGATGCAGTATTCTCATGCAAGTACTTCAATATATCAAAATATAGATTTCAACTACAGGACGCAGCAGTCTCGAGGAGGGTTGGTTCTGGAGGGGGGCAGAAGGATAAGACATTTATTCAGGTGTTAACATGTCTTATTATTTACTCCCTTCCAGAACTAATCATCTCCAAGGCCATAGAAAGAATGTTCTAAAACGGCAATCAAATAAACTGAGTGAGATTTCGTTTATCTCATTGAGTGGCCAACGACTGGAACGGCTTAACCGAACAAATGATATCAAGTCTATCAGTGAACGCTCAAGAAATTGGATTTCCAATGGGAAACAACCTGCAATGATTAACACAGGTCACTGAAGACTGAAAATATAAGTCTGAAGTCAATAATACACATTACAATAAGCAAAATGATTCCCGCTCACAACTTACTGGTATGAAACTATTTGCAAATGGACTCATTGGTGAGATAGCACTGTTAACCGTTATGATTACATAAGTGAACACTTGTTTAATTAACAAGCAATACGCATCAGCATCTTAATTAAAAACACTTTGTCTGGTCTACTTGACGTATCACCTGATAACAGGCCTTAAAAATCGAAATTCCTCAAACCACTAAACTCTAATAGATTTCGCCGTAACATTTATTGAGGAATGATTTCGATTTATACAAACCCTCTAGTAATTGGCTAAAACGTGGCTCCGAAATCACACGATTATTTTAAGAATCATTCAAGTTTTTTTCCATACAACTATACTTTTGCCAATTTTCGTTGTTTTCTTCCACTAAAAACATGTTGCCCACTTAACGCAGCTGTTAAATGAACACGTGGTGTCATTCATGGTTACTTCAAAATAAAATATCGAGTCATCATCATCATCAACGGTATAGAGCCTGGTACATGTGTGAGTTGATCCATGTTGCCATACTAGATTAGCGTAACGAGATTAAAGTAACAAACAAACATTAAAATAATATGATAGCAATAATATAAAGAAAGAGTAAACCTTGCAAGATAAAGACGACACTGAACCATACCACCCAAAGTCACTAACCGCTGATTGTAGTTATTGTGCTGATACCAACCAGAGAGTTTAAAATGTACCAGCATGAATTAGACCAACAATCAAAGATTTCATAGACTGATAACATGTTTTGATTTAGCCACCTCTAGCCTCTTCCAAACTCATAAAAGAAATAATAGTAGAAGACAAAACAATTTTACAAAACTGAAACATAAATGAATTTTTGTAAGAGAAAAACAAGTCGTTTTATTTCTTTTTCTTTTGTCGTGTTTATGTTTTTTCTGATGTCCTGTACCATTATTATTACTAACGTCACTGGCATTCGATAAGAATTTATGTTCAGTTAATAAAAGGCGAGCAACATTGTTGATATGTTTGAATCGATCAGGTCCAAGTTGGATACCACCATACCATCGACTTACCTAGAAAATAGAACACACAAACACACACAAACTATGAATGGCAAAAACAAAAATATGAAAACATTTAGGAGATTAAAGAAATAAGGTTTAGCCAGATATTTCAAATGAATTTTGACGTGTAGATGAAACACAACGATGTATTATTTAAGAAGTGGATCCTTGTAAAGAATATGTCATACAGAGAAGAATAAATCAAAACCACTTCTCAATGAGTTTCACCTGTTTTTTACTTCTTCATTTGTTTCCTGATATTTTATGTTGGCCTGTCTCTCAAGGTAAAAATCAGATTGTATGTAAAAAGGAGGTTCAAACTAATATTACTTTTTGGGGAGATAATAAAAGATTTGTGGGCCCCTACACGAGGGGTAACAGGCGTAAGTAAAGTAAGTCTTTGTAAAAGGCTGATTTTACTCTTCTCATTGTCTAAATGGGTCAACAGCAACTGAAGTGTAATTGTAAGGAAACTGTTTGATTTCCATTTCATAAGTGTAAGACAAGTCATTATTTTATTATAACTTACTCTAGGAGGAAACAGCTTTCTAGTGCTTCCAAGTTTTAAAATGTTTGTCATGATTGTCGTGATTTAAATAAAATATTAAAGATGCGCTGCTCTCCCTTTAAGGGGAAAACGTTACCTCATGATTGGTTTGTATTATAGTTCAGATTGATCATAAAGAATAAGGTAGCTAAGTGGATAAACCATTTAACGTATCGAAGTTTCATTTGCTTTATTGGGTTGGTTTGATGAAATATTGTTAGAAATAAAGAAAGATCGCTTGACGTATACTAACTAGCATCTCTTTGTGGCCTTCGCGTGCCGTTTCACTGCACGGCAGTTTGCTGTCATATTTTATAGCTGTGAAATGTCGCAACATTCGTCGGCTACTACTACTTGATCACAGACGTCCTTGAAGCGTTGAGAACATCTATTCACTGACTATCGGTCGAAGCCATATCGGTAGATACATACTAGCTGGTTGGTATCCACGTGATTACTGTGATCAATGGTTAGATATGTAGAATGACATGAGTTACGATAGATCACAGTAGCCTAGATGCACTGGCTCTTTATCGTTTTCTGGATTTTGAGTCCAAGCATTTCTTTACCCATACCTTTTTTATTCAATTTACTCGAACAATATTTTGAACGTTTGATCTTTTTCACCATAATTTCAACTACGATTATTTCGAATCTCATGCTATTCATCTCATCATGCTGATCTAATATGACTAGCCAATATTTGTGTCAAGGTTTACAGTGACTATGACTAAAAGAAGTAGAAATAAATTCAGTCTAACGAGAATCTAGCCAGCTAGAAAGAAGCGAATACATCATGGGTAGATCCAAACAGTTCACACTAATAAGAGTAGAAGCAAAAGGGCGAGTCAAAAAAGGTGACCATCAAAAAGGGGAAAATTAATAAATGCGGGCATTGAAATGGGAAATAACATTTTTAATGTTCGCTTAGCCCTCTATCCTGTATTAATATTCACCTTTTTAATGGTCCCGCATATTAATGTCCACCCCTTTGCACTAGCCCTTTCGATAGTCAACTTTTTGCTTGCACCCTTCAGGATGAATACTACTCCAAACACGACACATTTAAAGTCGACCATCAAATAATTTTGGTTAACAGTAGCTATCCACAATTAACTTATCGGTGTTTTCTCCGAAGATTGACACAAAAGGATAAACAATGTGACACTTTGAAAAAAATGTGATAGGAGACATCAATGACTTTTAACTCAAAGGACTGAACCTTAAGAATAATTAGACATTAGACCAGCTACACTGATTAGTAATTTTGCTGCCTTCGATTATTTGGTATTCAGCAGTGTAACCAAGAAGACTAAATCTACAAAGCCATTTTGTAGAACATTTAAATTTGCCCAAGTAGTGGAAATTGATCAATAATGTCTACAGTTGCCACTAAATAGTTTAATATTATCTGTTAAGAACTGAACTACACTATTGCTCAGATGAAAACCAACGAAGAACAATTTCCCCTGTAGAGCATACCATGGTCAAATAAGATGTAACAAACTTTATGTTAATATTACAACTTGGTACCTTGAATAATCGCCAATATTAAATACAATTTTTCAGTTATAACACTCACCATAACCGCTACATTTTCAATTCCTGATAATGTAAGTAAATGTAATAGTCGACCACCTGCATGTGTTTCTCCATCATCATCACAGTCAGCTTCTTTGGAGGAGATACGCCAAGCTAGGATATTATGAGTAGCTGTAGCAACTTTTCTATCCGTAAGCAGTGTTGATATAAAAAGGGATACTTCACCACGGGTCGAAACACGTGCACAATGAGCCTATACAGTCAACCGACATAGTCAATATTAGTATTTTATTAATGCCGCTCATATTGAACAGTATTATTTCATCTCACAAAACACCCCACAGCTTAAACGGAATTTTAGCCGACTCATGGTTCAAATGCTAAGTTATCAAAGCAAAATGTAATCAATAGTCAATCGCATCAATCCGTAATTTGGTGATAAGTTGCATTAAAAACCACAATTTTCAAAAAACCAAAGTTACTTATATTGTTCAACTTAGGATATCAACCTACTTACGTATAACTGTCCTAGAGAAAACCAAGACTTCAGCAAAAATATATTTCTGTATGTGTATTCTCCTGAAAGATTATTAAGGAACTATAACAAACAAGCTAATGAAAAGATCACATGGAGATCTCAATATACGTATTGCTACATAAAACATCTGGTAACTAAAAGCCTGCATGTTACGTTGTTTCGACTCTGATAATCATTCGTATATGCATATAACCACTGCCGGGGAAGTCCTACTCACTTCCTTCACGTGGCGGCAGTGTTGTCTACGAAATTCAGGACGAAAAGCGAATATCCGACGTTTTAACCGGGTCGGTGGACACAGAGAGTCCACCTAGGGGAGTTGGAAAACCCTGATCCCAAACCAATGGTCATATGGGTCACAGGATCCTGAAGGAACAAATGGCGTATGAACCAGTCGTTGGTAAGCGGCTATCATGAGACTGCATCTCTTTACGTTGTTCCGATGCCTTGTGGATTAGACCTATAGGTCAAAGGTTCGGAATGCGGCCATCTAAGAAAACCACCTGCTTGGGTTTTGGCAACCGGGCAGTATCCCAGCCCTCACAAAAATCGAATGAGATTTGTGTGGCGCATACTTATTTGGTGCCTCCTTGTACCAATGTTTATGATGTTAAATAAATAAACATCATTCGTATAATTGGCTCTTTTTCCAAACTGAACATACTAAAGTACTTATGTTAAGTTTATGGAAGTAAATATATATGTTATACGTAACTATCAACTGAAAAAAAAAACAGAAAACGACAATGACGATAATGAAACTACCTACGAAAATAATAAGGAATTCTTGTAATTACTAGATAGAACAAGTTAACTTCCCGTCAACTAATATTACCAAATGAGAAATTAACAGAAAGTAAATATACTTTAGAATGTTTTGGAACCAGAATAATAGAAGTATAATTGTTTTATGGTAATCTCTTGAGAGGTTGTGCAAATAAAAACAATAAATAACATTCTTTAACAATCCACTTAGACGAAAACAATCCATTATCACCAAGTTATTTCCTTAACTATCTTACAAGTACTCTCATCTTACACATTGTATCCTTAACACTTCGAAAGTAGTTAACACAAAATACAAGTGTAGAACAATCGTGTGCCAGTCATGATATATAATTAACGTAGATCATGTCACGAATGTCCGTCAACGAATGTGTCAGAACAGTTGTAATAGTGATAGCATCAGTGGTAGTAGAGAAGAGAATACGATTTAAAAAGAATCAGTTTGCGGAATAAGACGTATAAGATCATTTTAAGATTAAAGAGCTATAGGAAAACAGTGAATGCACCTGCACCATTTGACCAACTTTGAGCGATTTCAGCCACAGAATAATCATGAATCTACAGTTCAAAAAACCAACATTTCAGTAATAATCAGTGAATAAATAGCTAATATCTAAGGAATACTTATAGTTACGTAGGTACTTATTGATAAACGGTGCTCTTGTTTAAAACAATCACTTCCAATAAAAATATTCCCATACGTCACACCGAAAGTATAGTTTGATATGAAATAAATATCGACCTTTTAATCACTAAGATAGTTACCTGGAAAATGCTTTTACGATCTATAAGCGGTTCACCATGATAAATCTCTGGTACTTTTGAGTTTAAAGCAAATGGCAAAATTTGGGGAGATATGTCAAGATGAGATTTTACTGAAGGCACCGATACAACCGCACTTGGTAGTTCGTGATTTTCCGGCACAGACTGTGATGATGATTCTTCAACTTTATGAACGGTTAGATTTTCAGTACTCGAAGACAAATAATTACACATGAATGACCGAACAGTCTCAACCAACAAATAAACAACTGGGGAGCCAAGTGAAGACGAGACTACAAGCTGCAACTGTTTGTCGAGTTCATTAAGAATATTACACTTGAGCCAAGGTGCATGCAATCTGAAACATAGATGATAACATCACAATACGAACTCATATTTTACTGGATTGATCGAAGGATAGCCAGGGACTTGCTGGAATTTCAGGATAATTTGTTCCTTGCTAGTAGTATCACCCATTTTTGAGTCGATCCTTATCTCGTAGACTCTATGACTCCATATAATTAACAATAAATTTACTTGTTCTCAGGCTCCAAGATAAAAAAGTCCTCTTCATATATAGCAGAGAGAACTTCTATTTCTTCTGCTGCTTCTGTGAAATCATACGGCTGATCAGTTGAGAGGTTCATTCGCTTAACTCCTACTTCTAAATTTATAGTATATATACACACGAGTAGTGACGAACCGTTTAGACGAAAAGTAGACTAACATACCTACTTTCCAAGCTCAACAACAAAATCATTATTTTTATGAAAATCTAATCAAAAAATTAAACTGGATGGTTTTTTTCGCTGGTAAATACACACCGGATTTTAAATAAGTTAATATTAAAAATGGAATAAATGCTCAACTGACTGCATTGCCTGATTAATTTGATGGTCATATACATAATACCTGGCCAACTTATCATCAAATACACAACATTTTTTTACACTTATAACGTCAAAACATAGCGAGTGGCTGAGGATGCTCAAGTAAGTGGACTTCAGTTCGAAATCAACAACCTGTTAAAGTGGTCTCTGATATGAAAAAACCCTAAGAATAGAGCTGCGTCACACTGAGTATTGGATATGCAAATAGCACAAACTACAAAATTAAATCTTTGTCCCACTAGTATTAACTTACAAAGACCATAGGATCACAGCAAGTCATCTTTTAAAGACTGGCTCACTACTGATCGGTTGAAGCCAGTTATTAAAACAGTGACGACATTAACTTTCATAAGGTGAGGTAAAATTATGTTTAAAACTGTCCACATGACTTTAGCAATATCCAAACCAAAAAATATATAAAGGTCATAGGCCCCTGTTTGGAAGAAGACTAATATCTTGGGATGAGTGCAAAGGATCATTACGTAGCGGGTATTTGCTTAATCCCTGAGCTACACGCTTAACCTTAAAATAGGCTTGATGACTTAAACGTTTTTACATAATCCTACAGTAAGTGGAAAAGACCTAATTACTACTCAATAGACACTAGGTGATTTCGAACTTGCCATACTACTTACTCTCATATAAGGAATACTCCAAGAACACAACGGATGGATTTAAAAGCTAAACAGGTAAAATCGCTGTAGTGTACAGGTTTTCCCAGTGAGTAACCAGAACTAGAAACCTACTACTGCAAGAACTAGCTAATTAGGGAGAAGACTAGACGAATACAGAAGGATATTGAAAAAGAACTAACTCCGGAATGCTGAACGTGCAGGACAAACGCGAAAATCAACTGAAATCAACGTGGTTGTTGAAAGACCAATACAGATGTTTCTAGGGCAGCACTCCACCTACGATAAATTGTGCTGAAGGTTGTACTCACTGTGAATTTATGCCGTCAAAAAGTGACATATAAGGGTCCTCTACGTTCTAACCCCAAAGAAGGTGAAGAATGAGAACAATTAGCGCCCTCCTTTGTTAACAATACATCCCAAGGGACGTCGCGTTCATTTGAGTCATGTTTGCTTTTATTTCCCCTTTTTGCTAGGGTATTATTTACGAAGTAGTGTATGGTTGGTAGTGTTTTTTGAGACAGCAACCGACGTTCTTGTGGTATTAGTTCGGCTACAATCGTATAAAGTTGTACAGACATGTCAATGACCCACAAGACATCTTGTTACAAGTAGATTTGCTTACGGAGAAATACAACGTCCGGCCTTAGGTAAGTTTACGTCTTGCCTGAAGTTGCTTTATATGCTGAGACATGTAAGGAGCAGAATATGATAAACGAACAAGAGTAGAAGTGAGCCAAGTACTCAGCGAGTGCATAGTACTCGCTTGCATTTATTGAAGAAAGCCATCGATGACAATCATATATAACAAGCATGGTTAAAGCTAATTTACAAGTGACCTTAAAGCAGAGCTAGAACGACCTTCACACTGTCCACCTACCTATAAGGATTAAATGAGGGTTAGAAATTGGTGTCAGGGATAAAGATCACGGTTAACAGTTGGTCGTTAGTGTTAAGAACTAGATTTTGGCTTCCCATCACGAACTGACATCAATCATAATGCCAAATGTGATCCAGCCAAGTGAGTAGATGAAATTTGCGCTAAACCTTGAATCGGTTTCAATGATCCTTAAATTTTTTATCATTTATGGCAATCACATATATGGAACCAGAAATTATTAACGAAAGATTCCAAATACACTGGTGGAAATCTATGTTAATCATTCAGATGCCATGATCTATCCTGTACAACGAACCTCCTTATAGCTAGGGAACTCTGGATTAATGCGCTAGACAACGGAAACTCAGTGGATGTTGTCTACATAGACTTCAGTAAGGCTTTTGACAAGGTGCCAACTAATAGGCTGCTATTGAAGTTGGCAAACCTTGGTATTGCCGGACCTCTTTTAAAATGGATTAAGGATTTCCTAGTAGGTCGTAGGCAAAAAGTAAGAGTTGTGGAGATAGACCTGACAACCTTATTTTGTAAATAGTTTTTAATATTATTTGTATTTGTTTGTCAATTTTTCACTGTATGTACATTCATCATTAAATGACTGTACGTGTTGTTTTAGTCATTGACCTTGAACACACTTTCCGTTGAGCTACTACATAGCGTGACATGCTTGCCGACTAACAAATACATTACTATTCACGCATACCTCGTTCTATTTTCATTTGCGATTGAGTTAACTGAAGTCTAAACCAAATATTATCATTGTTTATAGACTGTAATTGGAACATATCACATCCTACGTGGGATTATATCACTATAGAGTTCACCAACTTGCTCAGAATCATCAAGCATTCATAATTGTGGATTTACCTTACCGGACCTAATCAGAACACGCAACGTTGGGTCAATTTAAGTAACGTCCCTAGTTTTTTTATTGTATCTGTAACAATTAACTGTATATATTAATATTACTATTTATCTTTAGTAACTTTGTTTATACTTTTTGCGTTCATATTTGTCTGGTACACCACAGAATAAATTCCAAGTGCTCCATCTGGAGACCAGTATCTAGTGGAGTACCCCAAGGTTCCGTCTTAGGTCCTTTACTTTTTATAATGTACGTTAATGATCTTACAAGTATAGTACAGTCTCCAATGTTATTATACGCTGACGATGTAAAAATTTGGCGAGTAATAACTGGAGACAAAGACGCATTTACTCTTCAGGCGGACTTAAATAATATGATAAACTGGTCTAAAGAGTGGCTAATGCCTATCAACTCGGAAAAGTGTGTCTACATGCACTTGGGGGATTCAAAGGTTAATACGTACAACATAGGGGATGTGTCATTACCCGTAGTCCGGTCTCATAAGGACCTAGGGGTGACAGTGAGTAATGATCTTAAGACGACGGCCCATTGCCGGGAGGTCGCAGTTAAGGGGTTTCGAACCCTCTGGGCTTTAAAAAGGACATTCACTAAGCTTGATACTACCATGTTCACCACATTATACACATCCTCAGTGAGAACTAAGTTAGAGAACTGTGTTCAGGCTGCAAGCCCCTGTTTCAAAGGTGACTCGGACATAATAGAAAAGGTACAGAGGGCAGCTACGCGTGCAATTCCGGAACTCCGGGGTTTATCATATAAAGAGCGGCTTGAAAAACTGAACCTCTTTACTCTGTCCTATCACAGACTAAGGGGAGATCTAATATTGATGTACAGAATACTGAGAAATGATTTCGGACCTAACTTATTCTCTCTCTTTCTTCCCACTAGATCGGGACACCCCAGAGGACATAGCAGGCGGGTAGAAAAGCCAAGAACGAACAAAATACTCGTGGCATACAGGTTTTCGCACCGAATCATCAATACTTGGAACCTGCTGCCTGAAGCAGTGGTGTCCGCACCTTCAATTGACTCTTTCAAGAGAAGACTGGACACTCACAGAAGCATACTAGAAAAGGAATAACATAGGCCGTAGGCCTTCTCTCCTTACTACACAAATCTGAATCTGAATGATGATTTCATGTCCAGCAGATATCAAAGGAAGTAACCAAGCGTAAAATTGTCTGAATAAAGTTCGTTTTTCATATGCCTAGATTGTCGTCATTACGTCATTATGCAAAGTATAAATGACGATCCTTAAGAGATCGTTAAAACCGGACCCACAATATATATTGCACTCACTTACGGAAAGAAAGGGGAATTTTAGTGAATATTGTGAAGAAGACACAGGTATTCAGTGTTTCACAACGCTTTTACCAGCAACACCTTCTAATATAATTCGTTCTTACCAAGAGAAATAAAAAGACAGAGTCGAGGAGATCGGAAGAGTGTATATGAGATTACCAATACATCGGAATTCATTGATCTTGAGGCGGTAAATAAATCCCTAAAATAAACAGCTCTAAGTTTTCGACATAGGATGCTGACCATATGTTTTAGTGGACTCATCTAGCTGAAGGCTCTCGGTCATGCATCCGCACCAGATCACGTGTGGTAACGCTGTGCTCGACATCTACCGCAATCGCTAGCCAGATTAGATCAGAGAATTCCGATATATTGGTAATCGCCAAATACACTCTTCCGATCTCCTCGACTCTGTCTTTTGATTTCTCTTGGTGGGTACAAATTATATTAGACATCATCATTGGTGAGACCGACGTGATCTGGTACACCTAATTGCAACTGTGAGTCTGTTCCTTTTTGGGATTTTTATATATCATTGCCTTATTTTTTATTTTTTTAAACATTGTGATTTTTTTTCGTGTTTTTTCTTGGATATATATTTTTTTCCCCTCGTTCATTATCGTACTTCATATTTCATCATGACTGAACAGACACCTAAAGTACTCAAGCTTAAGACCTTGTCCCCACCTTCGTTTCAACTGATGCCTTTCTGGCCCGACAACATCGAAGCCTGGTTTTGCTACGCAGAAGCCGACTTTCCGAGCACGGCGTGATCGACACACGTGCACAATTCCTCGCAGTAGTCAAGGCACTACCGCGCGAATTCAACAGGTACGTAACACCTAGTATGTTTACTAGTGATGTTTCCGATCCTTACGAAATCTTAAAACGCTCGATTCTTAAACGAGGAGACCTAACCGATCGACAAAGGTTAGATCAACTCTTCAATAACATCGACCTGCAACACGGTTCTGCGACGGACATGTTGCAACGGATGAGAGAGGTTATAGGCCCAAGAACTTTCGACGAAGGTCTATTCAAACAACTCTTCTTGTCAAAACTTCCCCAACAGGTGCAAGCAGTTCTGGTCTCGTTCCAGAACAACGCCTTAGACGAGCTAGCTGCATCTGCCGACCGCATTCTAGAAATTACGAAACCTTCTACTACCGAGGTATTTTCAGTCAAAGAAAAGCCTCACACGACTCAGAATGACATAACCGACTTATGTCACACACTCACGCGTTATCTTAGTCTTCGTACCGACCGTAAGAGATCGCGCACACCACGTAGAAGCATTTCTCGTAAGCGATCTGTCTCTAGACCACGAGAGACAGATAACCCCGACTGGTGCTGGTATCATAACCAGTATGGAAAGTTTTCCAGAAATTGCAGAAAACCCTGCAATTTTCCCAACACGAAACCGACTGATCGAAAAACAATCGGGAAACTTCCAAGCCGGCACGCGTTAACGGCAACCGTAGCCGGCGAACAAAGCCGTCTGTTATTCGTCACAGATGTGACAACGAGAGTTCGCTACCTCGTCGACACTGGCGCAGAAGTTAGCGTTCTCCCAGCAAATCCTAACGACCGACTTCACGAATCGACCCTAAACTTACAGGCGGCAAACGGAAAACCGATCGCTACGTATGGCAAAAGGTACGTTTACCTTAACGTGGGTTTACGCAAACCCATCCACTGGATTTTCGTCGTTGCAGATGTTTCTATGCCAATCATTGGTATGGACCTTCTACAACACCACAATCTGATCATCGACACTCGCAAACGGAGGCTAGTAGACGGAAACACTAATTTGTCCGTTTGCGTAACTTCTTTTACTGGTTGTAGAGTATCCCCAGTCACAGTTAAACATATGATAGACCCACTCTATCAACCACTACTCGATAAGTACCCTGGGATACAACAAACTCAACCGAAACTACCGTGTGTAACCAGCAATGTTACACATCACATCACGACTACAGGACCACCTGTATTTCTAAAGCACGACGACTAGCTCCTGAAAAGCTAAGGTTAGCGAAAAACGAATTCGATCACATGATGGACTTAGGAATCATACGACCGTCAAGTAGCCCATATGCATCTCCGTTGCACATGGTCCCTAAAAAGGACAGCAACGATTGGCGTCCAACTGGTGACTATCGGCGATTGAACGCGAAAACCATTCCCGATCGTTACCCGTTGCCTCACATTCACGATTTGACAGCTACCTTGAAAGGTACAACTGTCTTTTCGAAAATCGACTTGGTTAAAGCGTATAACCAAATCCCTATGGCTACTGACGACATACCGAAAACGCTATCATAACTCCCTTCGGACTCTATGAATTTTTGCGAATGCCTTTCGGTCTAAGGAATGCTGCTCAAACATTCCAAAGATTCATAGACGACGTTTTTCGAGGTCTCAACTTCGTACACGCGTATGTTGACGACTGTCTAATCGCAAGTCCGGACAGAGAAACACATCTCAAGCATCTGGACCTTGTTTTCGAACGATTACAAAAACATGGCATAACTGTAAACGTTCAGAAATGCCAATTTGGAACCGACTCGTTAGACTTTCTGGGACACACTATCGATGCTCAAGGTATCCGACCCCTTAGAACCAAAGTGGCGGCCATTCTGGATTACCCAGAACCGACCACCGTCAAGCAATTACGCACGTTCAACGGCCTGGTAAGTTTCTATAGACGTTTCATACCCAATGCGCATTACTTATGAAACCTCTGACCG